GAGAGTATAACAACATTGATTGGCTCATAGATTTAGCCTCTGTGCATTTTGATTGGTCAGCCAAAGCTCACTGCTGATTGGTTACTTTCGAATCTAACATTCTCGAAAATTCAAGTTGTGTTTGTTTTAGCACATAAACTCATTCAAAACTTTAAAAAGACTTTGGTTATATTAATAAAACTTATGCGTCTCAATCCGACTACAGAAATTTTCATCAAAGTACTAATTTTGTGTGGTTTCTATGACTGAAAAGTTGATTAAACATGTAAATACAGCTTAAAACTGAAAGCATGCAGGACTTTTTCAGACAGCTGTATGTATGTGTGTGTGTGTGTGTGTGTGTATGTATGTATGTATGTGTGTATATATGTATGTATGTATGTATGCATACACACACAGTCGCTCACCTTTGGACAGGGGGAAAGACGAGTGGGCTTTCTGCCCACATAAAAGATGTGAGTTACATTTCTACTCTTCACTCTTCACCCGCCGAGAGGAAAAACTGACATTTAGCAACAAGTTTAATGTTTTAGCCTCCCAACCTCACACAGTTTAAGGCTCCAGTTGGGATTGTGGAGCTGCTGTACAAAAGCCCCTTTGTTTGAAGGCATAAAAAGGAGGAAATTGCTTGCTTTCGTGACACTGTGAATGGAAAAAGCAACACAACCCATCAGCAGCTCTTAAACTGAGATAATTTGGAATGAGAGAGTTTTTCTGATGTTCATTGTACCCTTAGGTACACCAATAATTGCCTGGATCTTGGTTAGATTGATTTGATGGAACAAATGAAACAAAGGCTGCTCTATACAAGATTCCCCTCAATTCATCAGGGATGGGGAGCAAGGGCCCTTTTATGACTTTTGGACTTCAACTCCCAGAATTCCTGAGCCAGACAGCTCAGGAATTCTGGGAGTTGAAATCCACAAGTCATAAAAGGGCCTTCAAAAGTTTCCCCACCTCACCCTCAGTTCAATACACTAAAGCAGGAGAAATTTTGTTTTAGAAATAGTCCGTTCCATGTTGCAGCTCTGATCCCCTTAGCCTGACTTTAAGCTTTCTTCCTGTTATTTATTCATAATCTCTTAACTTTAAAAAAACAACAACAACAACAACAGGTTAGGATCGAAGTCTTCAGAGATGGAGGTTAAAGTTTCAGATTTTTGGCTCCACCGAGTGGAAAGAATTACGGAGCTGAGCTTGATGTGCAAAATGGGCTAAACTTGTTTCCTATGAATTGCTGGTCACCTTTTATGCCAAGGTACTTTGAACCATCTTTCTGGAATGAAAAAAAATGTTAGAAAATAGCACTTTTTTCTCTTGCTTGCAGCCTGGAAAGCAGCAAAAGAGAGGGGGGAAAGGGAGGGAGGAGGGAGGGAAAAAGAAAGGTGGTGGAAGAGCAAAAGCAGTTGCAAAAGAAAACGCTACTCTCTGCTATGCCAATGCCATGCTTAAGGTTTGTGTTGGCCTTATGCCCATAGAAGCAATTGGCCAACATTAGAAAAGCAAACAAACTCTTTTTTGAAAGAGAGGAAAATGTTAAACTTTGGATCCATCTGCATGAAATTTGCAAGTTCACTTAATCTTTTAACTTTTATCACACTGTTTTTCTGTGATGCTCCTGAAATTGGTAGGGTGTGGAACCTCTGATGCAGAATTGTCTTAGCCTAATCAAATGAAACAATTAAAATGAGTTTCAATGCATTGTTAAAATGATTGATACACTTGTAAGGGAAGGATAAGGGCGCCCTTCAACTTACTGTATGCCCACCATTGAGCCTCGAATCTCCGACTCAGATGGATCCAAAGTTTAACATTTTCCCCTCTTTCAAAAAAAAAAAAAAAGGTTTGCTTTTCTAATGTTGGCCAATTGCTTCTATGGGCATAAGGCCAACGCAAACCTTAAGCATGGCATTGGCATAGCAGAGAGTAGAGTCTTCTTTTGCAGCTGCTTTTGTTCTTCCATCTCCTTTCTTTTTCCCTCCCTTCTCTCTCCTCCCTCCCTCCCTCCCTCTCTCTCTCTCTCTCTGTGTATGTGTGTGCTTGTATTTTAGTCTAGGATCCAATTTTTAAGATGACATATATAGAATCTATATTTTAGGGTGTCGGTCTGTGTCTCTCTCTCTCTCTTTCTCTCTCTGTATCTCTATCTTTATCCTTCTCTGTGTGTGTGTGTGTGTGTAGCTCTATCATCTCTCTCTCTCTCTCTCTCTCTCTCTCTCTCTCTCTCTCTCTCTCTCTCTGTTCTTTTTTTCCTTAGAAGGAAAAAAAACCTCCATTAATCTGAACCTCACATAACTGATGTTCTGATACAGAAAGAAAGAAAGAAAGAAAGAAAGAAAGAAAGAAAGAAAGAAAGAAAGAAAGAAAGAAAGAAAGAAAGGATTTCTTGGTTGTTATGATGACCAGATCAGAGGTAGTGAATATTCTTCCACTGTAGTAAAGTAACTGATAAGAAAAGTGAAAAAAAGAGAAAAAGAAGATGATGGACAGGCAACCTGAATACAAGAAAGCCAAAACTGATTGAAGGCAAACGCTCAGATTCATGTTGAATTTGAAGCAATCTCAGATTAAAGGTGAGGAAA